AATTGGGGTTTTTTTTTGGTGTGGTTGTTGGTGGGGTGGTTTTTTGCTAGTATGTGTTACAGATCAAGAAGAAAAGCCTAGGGAGACTTAGAGCACCAGTCATTTACTGCCTCTAAATCTCTTGTAGTACCATATGGCATAATGAGTGTGTGTGACTTTTACCCTTTACCGTTGTAATCATGACCATGTTATGACTGTTCAATTAGTTCTAATAAAACATAAGATAGTAAGGGAAATCCTCTTTTCTGTAATAGATCATCTGCAGTGATTTGTATATGGATGATCTCAGGATTTAGCATAAAAGACTACTAAAACAGGCTACTGAGCTAGGTCCTCTTGTAATAGCGTGCTAGGTGTGTGCACTATTCTTAATATCTCATTAATAGTAGTTCTTTTCTCATGCTTTTGTGTATTTTATTTTATTTCTAGTTATATTTAAGTAGAATAATAGTGAGTCCAAAACGTAATGAGTCATAGAAAAAACCCACAATGTGAATGCTTTTTAAATGTTCACTAATTCAAGGTGTTTTGTTGGGGTTTTTTAATGTAGGTTTTGATTAATGTGACTTTCTCATAAGCATACAACAAAGAACAAGAATGAAAGACTCTTTTGTAAATTCTGCAGAGAAGGATCTCTCAGATGCTGGTAAGTGTGAAGATTGTGCATGTCTAAGGAATATATTCCACTGCTCTGAGTCTAAATATGCATTATAAAGCTTTCCTGATTGCCGTAGTGGTTTTGTAGATTATAACACAATGAGTTTCCAATGAACTAAAGCCACACCTTTAAATGTTCCTGGATGAATCATTCTATCAAGTTCAACAAAATTTGTATACATGGGTGTACTTGGGAAGGTCCTAGCCTGGGCATGAAAATACTCATGAGGTAAGCTCAGTAAGGTGGAAGTACATTATTACTTTCAAATGGTTGTCTAAACCAGTCATTATAGGCTGACAGGCATTAAAAAAAGTATGTAGAAAATTCTATTCAGTCAGCAGTTAAGGTAAATGTAAATTGGGAGTGGCTGATGTAGGGAACATCTTCTGTCACCATGTGTTTTGCACTGGCTCCTACTGTGGTTGCTCATCAGTTCATTTATACATTTATTACATCTCATTTTCTGCATTTTAAATTATAAGTTTCCTGGGGTAGGATTCCTCTTCTGTGTAGACTTCTGAAACCCCTAGCACAGAGGAAGTGGGACATGTGGCAACTACTCCAATAGGGAGAAATAACAAAGATGATTTTTACAGGCAAAGTCATGAGTCTTCTGTTAACTTGCATCTATTCTGTGTTACCTACAGCAATTATAACCTTCACTATAAGCAGTTCCACTCATTTCTTTAGGGCTTCTTCACATTTGCATTCAAATTAATTAATTCAAATTAATTTAATCTTGCTTTTAGTCTTTGATAATTTTTCTGTCTAAATATATTTTAATTGTAAAAATGAAGTATGTTTACACAAAGCTTTTTCCTAGAACAGAAATGAACTGAAGAGAAAGGAAGTATAAAAAAAACCTCACCAAGCTCTTCCAAGAGCATTAGGAAAAACTAGTATTTAAAGGCAAAAGAATTATCAGTGAAAGATGTGAGAAAAAGGTACAATAGATAGATTATTATGTAAAAAAAAGAAGTCCACTTTTTATTTCACAGAATCTGCAAGCAAGGGATATGACAATCCTTCTTTCCAACATGAAGAACGTCTTGAACAAAGTGACCAGTTAAAGCCCGAGGGAAAAAGGTAGGTAGTACTTGAACTTAGTTTTGCCTGCTGGTGTACTGGGTGTATGGTGGGACAGGGGAAGGAGAAGAAAAGTTTAATACAGCATTGCTAAAAAGAAACCTCATCTTAATTAGTCTTTTGTTTCCCTCTAGGAAGGACAATGAGAAGTCAAAGAAACGATTGGTTGGCATTTTTGAATTGGTTAGTGTCCAGTTTGATGGTCTGCTTTATATGTTCTTTTCTTTATTTGCCATTGTGAATTTTTTATGAATTGAAATTAATAGGCAATCAAAAGACAGATAAGAAGCCTGAGACTTACTGATTCTGGACCTCTTTAAGTTTTGCTGTGTTACATCAGATTCCCCCCATGGTATATTGATAGCGCTGATAGCAGTTCAACCTTTGTGCTGTTGGAAGATGAAGCTCACCCTTTCTAAGGCTGTTCTAGGACATATATACTCCACAGACCCTTGCCTTGGCTCTGTTTAAAAGGATTTATCCTATATTTGACATCTGGGGGATCTGCTCTCTGAGAACCAGTGGCATGGTTTTGTGTCAGTTTTCCATATAACAGCTATTCCCAAATAGCTCTCACATGTGAACTTGCTTATTCTGGAACAAGACAAGTTTTATTCTTTTCTGGTTTATTCCTTGTCCATTTACACTTTGGAAGAGGGTTAGGACAGTCAGGAATGAAATGTTCTGATTTCAGATTAACCACATCCAGGAATAGCTATGGCAGTTTAAATTCACATCCTTCTTTAAACCAAACAAATGTTCAAGGGTAGAGAGCCTTGAGATGCAATCTATCTCTGCTGCAAACATTTTCTACTGGTAGATATAAACCAGGTGCTGGTCAATAACTCACTCTTGTTTACATTTCAAAGGCATTATCTTAGTAAATGTGTAACTTACTGGAACACAAAATGCAATATATTGTAGAAAGGTCATCATCACTTAGAAATATGTACTTTTTTCCAAGTGGAGAATATGTGTCCTGCCAATGTTCTCTTAGCAGCCTTACTGAGTACTGTTTTAAAGATATATTTGACCTACCATGCAATTCTTAAGTTCTGAGTTTCTTCAGTTGGACTGTCACTACTCAGAATATGTAGATAGAAACAAAGCATGTTCTGAAAGTCTGTTGTACTGTATGAAATACATGGACTGTCAGGTGTAATGTCACTCTTTTTTTTTTTTCTCTTTTGTTTTTTCAATGCTTACTTAGTTTCGCTATGCTGACTGGGTGGATGTCATTTTGATGATAGTTGGTTTGATCTCAGCTGCTGCAAATGGTACTGGAATGCCACTTATGATCATTGTCTTTGGAGAGATGACAAACAGCTTTGTGCTAAGTGGCGTGGAATCAAATGGTAAGAAGTTTAAAATTGGACTTCTCTACATATCAGTTGTGCTTTGCTAGATTCTCCCCCCCCTGCCCCAGACTATGCACTGGTACACATCTGAACAAGTATATAATGAGTAACATTCATTCTGCTGCAAATATCCCAGTCATTTTAATCAGTCTTCAATGGCTAGACCAGGACACAGAGAAAGTGCATTGGATGTGCTCTTTATGAATGAACTTTAGCTTTGGCAAAATAGTGAAGAGCACAACCAACTTCTGTATCGTCAGTTAACAGGCACTAATTTCTAGGAGTTCCTTAAAAGTGAATGTGTGTTTGTCAAATGATTTTGTACTTTGCAAGACCCAGCTTGCAAAATGCAAAACATTCCCAAACTGGTGACCCCATATTGCCATGAATTAACTTCTATGTATAATGCTTTCACAAGCATTGCTACCTTTTTTTCCCCTCCACAGATACTTCAGTAAACAGTTCCAGCTGCCCATCAGTTCCAGGCGTGGATATAGAAGGTGACATGACCAAGTAAGAGTCTTTGTGGGATTTCTGTTAATAGTGTGTTGGGGGATTTTCTTTCACTGCATTATCTCTTTGAGCAGAAGCCAAATGCTTGCCTTCTCAAAAAGGCTTTCCAGTAATGAATCACAGGCTTCAGTATTTACTTTGGTGTGATAAATGAAGACTGATTGTTGCTTTGGGTGTCTTCTCTCAAAAGATACAATGGGATCACATGGGTTTTTGTTGCCATATCCCAGGTTTGCTTACTACTATGTGGGAATTGGCTTTGCTGTGTTGATCCTGAGCACCATCCAAGTATGGACATTTTTGATTGCTGCTACAAGGCAAGCAGCAAGGATCCGGCAGAAGTTCTTTTATGCAGTGCTCCATCAGGAGATGGCTTGGTTTGATACTACCCAGATAGGAACGCTGAACACCAGACTGACAGAGTGAGAGCTTTGTTTATTTTTTACCCCCTTCCCCTCTAAGCGTGACATTTAAAAGAAAACTGCCATTTATCTCGATGGAAAAGCTTACAGAGTTTAAAGAAAAAAAACATTAAAAACCTGCCACCAAACCTAAAATGTGAAATATTACATCTCTGAGGGAGAAATCCAATATCCTTCTCAGGTTCATTTGTGCAGTTTCTGTGATATATGCAATGAAAGGGTATTTGCTGTGAAATACCTGACATTGGCTTTCTAATGCCCATGAAATACATGGCAGTCAGCACTAGATAAACAGCTTTGCTGTTTCCACCTAGTTTACAAACACTGAAAGCTCTGATGCTTTATTGAGTGGAAATGAGCTGGCACTTTGATCCAGTCAGTTCTCAGGCTGGACTTTGTCCAGTCAATTCAAGTCTTTGGAGCTTTTCCATAAACTTAAATAGACTTAAGGTTGAGGACTGTAAGCCTCAGGATGTTATAGGACTATATGCATGAACACAATTTTTTAAAAATATTTTTTCTGGATTTTAAAGTAGCTTTGGACAGAGCTGTGTCCTGAAAGGTGCAAGAGAAGCTTAAATGAAACCACTCAGCTCTAGTATCTGTATGTTCTGGGAAGAGAAAATGGGGAAGGAAATTTATATGAAAAACAGATTATTCCAAATAATGTTCTGATAGAATGAAGGTAACCATCAATCTGAGTCTGTAGACAAAATTAATTACATGAAGTGCATCAGAGAGCTGGGCAGAAGAAGTCATTTGGAGATGGTCATGCTGGGTGAGGGTGCTGCTTGATTGTTTATTTGTATTGGATGCCAGATAAGAAAACTAAGTCTTTTGTGACCTAGTGACAGGGCATAGAAGCAGCAGACAATGATGGAAAGTAAAGAAAATGAGTCCTTAAAAATAGGAGGTTTCTGCTGTGTTTTGGCCACAAAAGAGCCTAATGGTATAGTTCAGTAGCTGTGGTTAGTAATTTCGCTGTGCCAGCTAGGAAATGGCAAAGCTTCTGACATTAGGCCACACAGCATGAAAAGGAGAGGGAGGGAGTCACGTTGAAAGGCATTCCAAGCTAACAAAACTTTTTTTATTATTATTTAAAGTGACATCAACATGATCCATGAAGGCATTGGAGACAAGATCTGTATATTTGTACAGTTTCTTTCCACGTTTCTGACAGGGATTATTATAGGATTCATCCACGGGTGGAAGCTGACACTGGTCATTTTGTCAGTCAGCCCTCTACTTGCTGCATCAGCAGCAGTTTGGTCAACTGTAAGTGTCTGGGGATTAATAAACAAGGCAAACCAGAAAAACATTGCAACTCTTATGCACAGGAAAGGGGGAGAGAATGAAAGAAACCTAGTGTGGTTTCTAAGTTGGGAGGCTGGCCCTGTCCTTACTTTGGTTTCTGCTCCTTCTGTAGCCTTTCTTTGGGTTCCCAAGCATGTAATTGTAAGTCACGTTCCTTCTGTCTTCATATTCTGTCCAGGAGGGTAATTTGCATCAGAGCATCTTCCTTGCACAGTGATTTCCTCATGCAGTGCATTGGGGAAGCTGAGGCTCATGCTTGTAACCCTGACTTTCCCTTCCCAACACAAATACCTTTCAAGCTCTTTCCATCTGCACGTACATGGTACCACATCTGTTGCAAATAGTTTAACAAGTTTAATTCTGTGTACAGAGTAGACCCTAGGATGTATATACAGCTGCTGCAGACTGGAGTGATAAAAATCTGAAATATGCAGATAGGTTTCCCAGGAAGACATTTTCCTCTTGTGTACTGTTGTAGCCACAGTAATGGGTATGGGTCGTATTCCAGAGTGGCTACTCATATATGAGTCTACGAGGTTTCTTCCTACTTGAAGCATTTTGAATAAGCTGGGAAGAAGAGTGCTAGAGGCTATAATGTGACTACCTTGCTTACTTCAATGTCTAGTTGTGTTCTAATGTCTGAACACCTCAGACACTCTCCAGAGCAGCTACATTACGCCTCCCTGATCCTACACGTCATAGTGTAGTTTGTAGGCTGTGCTCAGCTTGGTAGGAAAGTGGATCACTTATGAAGCCCCTCTGATGCTTGTGTAGCCTTTTTACTATAATGACATGATGATGCATTGAGATGGGTTTGGGGGAAATTCAAGGTACAAAGAGGAGTTGACACCCACTTTGCTAAAATCTCATCTTGTGTGATTGTCCTCCTTCACCAATACAGTGTATGTATCCTTTAAGTAGACTGCAATAACATCTGGTTTTCAACTTTCAAGCTCCTGGCATCCCTGACTGCTAAAGAGCTGACTGCTTATGCCAAAGCAGGAGCTGTGGCAGAAGAAATTTTGACAGCAATCAGGACTGTTGTGGCTTTCAATGGACAGCAGAAGGCATTAGCAAAGTAAGATTTTTCCATCAATAATTATATTTAAAATATGGAAAAGTAATTTGGCTGTGGATTTGCTTTGTGGGGATTTTTTTTTAGGTGGGGGGAGGGGTGGATAGGGGAATGAGATTCTCCTTATTGTCATTTTATTCTTCTCTAAGTGGACAGCTCACCTGAAAACAAAGATGTGCAAATAGACCTAGTCAGTGAATCAGTAACCTGTATTAATATTACCATATTAATCAGCTACCACTGCAGCATAGACTGCAGTGGTCTAGACTGATTGTGATCTGAATAGACTGATTGTGATCTGGAGTTGAATTGAATGTGAATGTGGTGGGAAGGTTATTTTCACCTAGGAGTCAAACATAGCAAAGCATGTAATTAGTATTTAGTTGCTCAACTTCTAGAGCGTATGCACTACTGTTCTGATCTTTGATTAATGAGCTTATATTTAAGCTATACTTTATAACACCCTTAAGCAAAATCACTTTAATGATTTGCAAATAACATTTGTAGTTGACCAGTGTTAACCCTAGTCACATGTAAAAGGTGAGGTGAACACAAACTTATTCGCATAGATATCAGATAAGTGTAAACAATAACATTCAGTTTACAAATACTAGGAATCACTAGTTCCATGCAATTGGGAAAGACACCAGAAGACCTGATCCATATGATCCATGAAACTCTTCTGTCTTTTTCAGCTCTTAAATACATATATATTTGCCTTGGTCTTGTGCAAAATTTCTGAGGTGGTGTCAGCCCTAGATTGGGATCTTACAGCCTGTTCCTGCATTTGTCTGCTTTCCAGAACTGAGCTCTGACTGTTTTATAGCCCTGTTCTGCTTACTGGGATTTGTCCTTAAGATGCCACAGTATTAAGACCCTTTCTGCTTGCACAGTAAAGGCAGAAAAAGCCTTAAGATCACCTGGATCAGTTGTCCCTCCTCTTCTGCATCTTCTTCTTGGCACTGCAAATATCAATGTCTGAAGCAGCTCCTACCATTTGATTTTCAAACTACTTTAGATAAGGACAAAATAACTACATTCCAATAAGGCCTTTCTTTTCCATAGTTCATGTCAGCCTCTTCCACAGCTATACCTTCATTTGATGTTAAAAAACCCTAGGAACATCTGCTAGTGAAAGACAGCCTCCTACCAGCGACTGACCAGTGCATTTTACAATTAGTGGATTGTGACTTCTATGCAGCTCTTGAATGCTGGTCTCAGAGTTGAGAAAAGCATCCTTTCACTGCACTGTGACTCCACCGACTGCAAATTACTACACTTGCAAGGCACCTTTAGTTGTCATCTGTTTCTGGCAGTGTCTTGGCTTTTGCTCTGTAGTTGAGTTAGCATGTGTATTTGTTACACTGTTTAAATCCAGTTCTTTCCCTGGAGGATCCTTCATGCTGCTGATTTGAATATAGGGCTTGGTTTTAAAAGCATAACAAAGTCAAAACATTTAAATATATTTTAATATCAGATACAGCATTGGTGGCATATGAGCAATTTACAGGAACGAAACTGATGCACAGGTTTTTGATTGCTTCCCAGCTGACTGAATTGCAAGTCTTCCTACTGTGGAGATGTATTGTACAGAAAATACATAAGAATAGTTTCTTCTAGGGACAGTTCAAATTCATTCATCTGTAGTTTCCAGCTTATAGTTTTCACTTACTCAAGCTCATTATGGAAAGCGTAGCCTAGTATATCTTTTTGCTTGTAAGCACCATGCTTAGCAGCTTGCACTTTCTTCCTGATTTTTATACTGATCTGCTGTGTCCACTTGTTTCCTATATTGCCATATTAATCAGTAAACTGACTTAAGGGAAAGATTCTTCTCTTCCCAGAATGGCCAGTAAGACAACAATTCTGGTGTCTGAGAGAACTCTGGTTTCTATTTGTTTACTTGCCTTTTTCCCTAGTGCTTAGTTCTTTAGGGGTTTTGGTTTTTTATTTTGCCATTTCCAAATGTGGAAGACTAAACCTTACCTTTGATAGATAATGTTGATAAAACTTTTCAAGGTTTCCTTTCAGGACTAATGACAATAAATGGTTCAAGAGTGGTATCATGTCTTCCATCATGATAACAAATTTATGATACTCAATTGTTTTTTAAATATGTCTTCCATAGCAGTATGCCAGTGTTATCAGCATATGTCAGAGCAGATTTATTCAAAGGAATTGTATCCCCACTAGTCCTCTGTAAAAAAAAAAAAAAAAAAAACCAACAAAACTGTATTCTTTTTGAGGCTTTAATTGTTTTATAACATAAGTCCTTGAAAGGGGCACTTGAAAATATCAGTCAGAATGGCATGTGGTACTTGTCAAATTAATGGTTTCCTTGTCTACCTTCAGATATGATGCTAACTTGGAGACTGCTAAACGTGTTGGGGTGAAAAAATCCATTACCACCAACATATCTCTAGGTGTTTCACAATTTCTTATCTTTGGATCCTATGCACTTGCATTTTGGTATGGAACCAAGCTCACTGCTGAGGATGAACATTATGACATTGGTCGTGTGTTAATTGTAAGTACAGCAATGCAGCTTTGAAAAATGTTCTGCAACTTCAAGAAAATAGTTATGCAAGTGTTGTATATAATTAACTATATTTTCTGCCACGTGCTTGCTACATTAGCTGTTAGAGACTCATTTTTTTAATACAAAAGCTGAAAGACATTCATCTTGCCTAGCTTTTGTTATAGGAACTTTGAACTGAGCACCTTGGATTCCCACCCTAATCAATGCATAGGCAAAAGTATCTGCACTTTTCTCACTTGTTTTAGACCCTATAGTCATGAACACGGATCACGACAGGATATTTAGCTATCTTACTGTCGTCAAAAGTTTGGCTATGTGCTTAACTTTCGCACTCAAGTGGCTTCTGATGAGTCCAGTGTGGTTCCTCCCAGATGTCAAGTGAATTGTGCGTTAAGAAAATCTGGACTAAATTTTGTGAGCCTCCTAAATTTAGAAACATCTGGAAAGCAACAGAGAAAGATATGTGTACATAATAGAAAGTGTAAGAATATTTAAAAGAAGAGTCATTCATGCCACAAAGGTATGTGTCAGTATTTACCATTCACCCCAGGAAAATGGGGAGTGGACAGGAGCAACTGTGAAATACACCTTTCACTTTTGTGTTTAATTTTCCCGGAAAGAGCTAAATGTCCAGGTCTTTCTAGTGCACACCTGGGCACTGGTGGCTCTGTCATTATTAACTGATGCCTCCCTCCATCTCTTGCAGGTGTTCTTTGCTGTGCTTGTTGGAGCTTTCTCCCTGGGCCAGGCAGCTCCCAACCTGGAGAGTGTGGCTAAAGCACGTGGGGCTGCCTATGAAGTATATCAGATTATCAATAAGGTAAATATCTAAGTATGTAGAATAGAAGCTTTTCAACCACACTTAGCTTCCCTCTCCTTCTTTTTTTTTTTTCCTGGAGTGATGTAACACAAACACTCAAAAGCCCTATAATCATAAACATCTATGATGCCTACCACAGAACCCCATAATATTTCCATTCACTTCAAGAAAACAGCCTCTTTGTTTGCTACAATGAATGCTGGGAAGCTTAGCCAGTGTATCTGAGATCTATGGATGAGGTCTTTTTCTGATATTACACTTTCAGCTCCAGAGGGAAAGTAGTAAAGCACTATACCATTTTTTTTACAAATGCATGTGTGCACAATTTCAGCTGAGCTGGGTTTTTTTGGTGGAGGAGTTGTGAAGAGCAGATTAATAGAGATATTGAAAGTTATAATGATAAGCTGTAATGCTGATGTTGCTATGAAAAAGGTTTTCCACATTGTTATTATCTTGGTCTTGCTGTATTATGCAGTAATTGCATATCTGTGTATATAAAATACTTTAAACAAGTAGGACTAAAAAGTTGTGTAGAAACAGCTACCTCATTCTTGATGTGAGTATAAAATCCTCCTATAGATTACTGAGGGCCATGTTTTGGCTGCAAGATAGTGCAGTTCAGTTCTGCAGTTACAGATTTTTTGCTGTAAATTTCGTTGCATTTGAAAATTTACTATATTTGTTAAGGTAGAATTCAGTTAGATGTTCCCCTGTATTTGGCATCCTGCAAGTAAAATGCAGCAGCTCTTCAGTGGTGTACTGCAGTTTAAACCAGCAGCTGAGTAGTAAAGAACAATATATCTAGCAGAAATAAGTTTCATAAATGAAATAACCAGCAATATATTTTAAAAACCTCTTCCAGAAACGGCTCATAGATAGCAGTTCTAAGGAAGGCTACAAACCAGACAAACTCATGGGAGAAATTGAATTCAGAAACATTCATTTCAGTTACCCATCCAGGCCTGACATTAAAGTAAGTGTTTTATTTAGATTACAGTACTGAAATTCTTCAATCTGTGTCTATATTATTTGTCGAATCTTGCTGTTCTTGAATGCAAAATGCATTCTTGTTTCTGGGGATGGGGCATTAATTTTCTCACAATAATGCACAAAGACAAAGCTCTAGATCTACTGTCACTGGCTATCTGCTCACTGTTCTCCTCTGCAGGACAAATCTAAGCATGTGTTGCTCCTAGTCTGAATTTCTGTGAACAAGAGCTCTGCTAAGTCAAATAAGATTTTTAAAAATCTGTCATTAAAGCTTCCAGACTTTAAACAGTTAAACCAGGAACTTGCTTTTTCCAGTTCCTTGGTTATTCAGAGTTGCTGTGATAATATCCCATGTGAAAAATGACCTGTCAAATAGGCTTTACAATGGTATGCTATCAAATGGATTGAAACATATCATGCTAAATATACATTTGGAAGTCAAACATTATATTGTCCCTGTTCTTTGCCCATTCACTTTCCCTTAGTGACCTGTATGCATCATGACATGGTGATTATTTTTGTGGTGATACAGTTGGCTTGATCTCTCTGCCATATTCAACAGTTTAATAATATTTTGAATGCCTTGATAAAGGTGAAAGGAAAGGAATTTGTTGCTGTTGTTGCTTACTTAAGGAAAAAGGTAGAAATAATATTTCAAATGTCCACAATTAAAAGCTAGACATGCTGGTTTAGGGGTGAGAATGAGGAATTTCATATCACTGTGGCTGTTTCTTCAGATGGCTCTTCCTACCTCAGTCTGAAGTCTGTCCCATGGTGCAACAAATCTCTTTCCAGGATGCTGGGTTGGCTGAAGGGCAGACCCACAGCTGTACTTTTTCCATAATTGAAGCTGTTGCAATGCATCTTTTATCCCTCTTGGCTCAGAAATCATAATGAGAGAGTGGAGTCTTCATCCTTCTTCCTAAAAATGCTGTTGAGGCCAATGAGCTATGTTACGGGTCTGCATGCCAAATGGGAGGGAAATAAGTAATATTTGTCATCCTTTCCAAATCTGAGTCAGCAGCTCTCCCTACTAAGAGCATCAATGTTATTTAATAATGCCAAAAGGAATCAGCAAAGGTGTGTAGAATTTATCCACAATTTCTCAAGGAATTGGTGCAACACAGTATAACCCCTGTCCAGGTTAAAGCATATCAAACAGATCTATGGAGTCTAGTTATTGTTAGTTTTAAACTTAGCAACACCTTGTCTGATGAAAGCGAGTTAGAAATAACTTATTATGTGATGGTGACTATTTGCATCTGAAGATATTATGGTATCCAGAAAATAGTTAATTCCTGATAATGCAGGCACCAGGATATCAGCTTCTTGGAAATACAAACCCTACTGGATGTAATACACGGAGAGGAGAAGAATATTGCAACTATTTTAATCTCTCATTGCAAAAACATGTGTAGGCAAAATTATAAATCAGCCTGGTATAAACAAGAAGAGTTCCCATAGCAGCCAAATATTTTGGCAACTACGCAGCATTACTTGTATATGACATGGACATCTTTTGAGGTAAAATGTACCTAAATGTGAAAACAGCAACAAAGATATCATTAGTTTGTAACTACTCCCCAGGTTGCTGAGGCTGTTAACAATAGGGAGTGGGATTTATTAAGGGATATCTAGCAGTTACCTTGTCAAAACAGCCATTTATATTCTAAAAATAGAGGAAAGAAAGCTTGTTTCTCAGCAATAATGTTTAGCACCTTAAAAGTATTTTTCTGTGGTATTCATAGTTAAGTGTTATGCCATTGGCTAAGCATTGGAAAATGGAATTCAACAGGAGACTATAAGACCCTAAGCCTGCTACCAGATCACACAAATTGGAGAAAGTGAGCTGTCAAGTTTAGAGTACTGTGGCTGTGTCTATATTAGTTGATTTGAGTGTGCTGGGGAATTTTCCCAGGCACTGGAATGCAATGGTCTATGCAGGGGAACTCTTAAAATGTTTCTTGGCATGAAGTTGGCCTGTTCCAGTTATCAATCTTCTCAAATAATTCCCAGACTTGGTTTGGTATCCAGAAGGATCCAGGGACCATTCCCAAAAGGCAGGTTGCATGTAGCCATCCTGTTGAAAAGGCTAATATGCTTCACAAGCATAGATACAGCCTTTTTCATATCAGTGCTGCAGAATATTCCCAGGTACAATTAACTTATAAGTGTTGCCATACCTTCAGGCTATAGCCCTTACTACTGCCTTGATTATTGCTAGAGTTACCCTAACAGACTTATGTAATCAAACTTGTCAAACTAAAATATAATTTATTTTTTTTTTATTCCCAGATCCTCAAAGGTCTAAACTTGAAAGTTCAAACTGGAAAGACCATTGCTTTAGTTGGTGCCAGTGGCTGTGGGAAAAGCACTACCATTCAGTTGCTGCAGAGGTTCTATGATCCTGACCAGGGAGAAGTGAGTGTCTGCAATTGTAAAAACCAAGAGCTATTAAGACTAGCATGAGTTTTCCATATTGACTGAACCTTCGTTTTTATTTTTACTGAATTTGACCATATCTCTGCATAGTTTGTATTTCCACAATATAAGTTTCAAATGAACTACCTTCTCCTCTTGGCTTGACTTCATTATTCTCTTTCTTCTTACGATACTGTGCCACAAATAGCAAATACCACAAGTCTTTGAATAGATGCAAGACCTGAATTTAAAATAATTTTTATACTGTGTTAAATGGTTGCTTTCTCAGCTCATTTTTCTCTGTTAATCCACAGCAAAAGTTTCCATCATTATGCGTTTTATGTCTGTTTTAGCACTAAACACTAAATCCAGTCAGTCAAAATGGTAAATACTTAAGAAATTTCTGAAGGAAAAAGGGAGGAAAATAAATTTTCAGGAAAATATTCTTTTTATTCTTGATATTTGAAGAATGCTGCTTAATAGTTGCTACTGCTGGTTGAAAGTAGATAAATATTTCAAATATTAAACATTGAACTATCAGTACACCATGTATCAAAACAACTGTTATCAAAACAGTTGTCTCTTAAACTTCATGTTTCTGTGGCTGTTCACTTCTGCCCCCATGCCTCATTTTGCTATGTCAGGTTATCCAAGTTAAAAGTAATTTTCCCTTTCCTTTTGGTGTAACTTGACTTGTTCTTTGATCTGGTGTGAAGTACAGCCACAGAAGCAATTGTGTAGCCACAAGTGTGAGGGCAGGAAACTGGCACAGGGGCATGAGGACTGGGTAAAAAGTACGCAAGGTTATTGGGGAAAGCAACAGGAAAAAAATCCCAATGTGTTCTCTGTTTATGGTGCTCCTTGCCATTTTCCAACTTGTACAGTAGATGGAAAAACTGCCGTTGTAGCTTCTCCCCTATCATAGTTTTCTACTAAAGACAATTTTTTTTTCTTGACCTTGTAGCTGATACTTAAGTAATAGTAATTAATTTATTTATTATGAACAGAATGCATTTCCTTAACTACTTGGACATATTTTTCTCTCAGATTACCTTAGATGGTCGGGATATTAGGACACTTAATTTAAAGTGGCTACGAGAAAATATTGGTATTGTGAGCCAGGAGCCTGTTTTGTTTGCAACCACAATAGCTGAGAACATTCGCTACGGCCGAGAAGACATTTCTGATGCTGAAATTGAGCAAGCAGCCAAGGAAGCCAATGCTTTTGACTTTATATCTGGACTGCCTGATGTAAGTTCATGAACTTCTTCTGAGTGTAAGAACGAAAGGTCCATTTAGGCCAGTGTCCTGTTTCTGAGAGGGAGAGCATGGGAATTCAATTTATACTACATCTTCTCAAAGTACTCTTATAGCCTCCAGCAGCTTTCAGTTTGGGGAGTTTTTTGACTAGATATTGTGCCTTTGTTTGGTTGCCCTCAAAGGACTTGTGCCGAAGTCTGGGAAAAAATGTCAGTGCCTTAACTCAGGCGAAGAGAAGCTTTGCAGATGTGTTGCCATCCCTACCCATCTCATGAGGCATGGGAAGAGTTGGAATTTTAAAGAGAAGATCCAGAAATCCAAACCCCTTTGTCAGGAGCCATCTGCACATTCAATAGGAAATAGGAGGAGTGGGTGGAAGTAAATAAGTATGCCCTGAACCAAGACCCTTCTTAGCAGCTGGGAGCTTGTGCTCTCCCTCTGACTGCGATTCACAGCTTTGAGCCCTCTTCTAACAGTAGGTGCTTTACTCTTTTCAGGGTAGGGATCAGAAGTGGGATCAGTCATTCAAAACATATCCTCAGGAATGGATAATGACACGTCCTTCCTTTTGTTCCTGTAGTTTAAAAAAATGTGAGAGAAGTGCCCACCTGGGATTTGATTTCAGATCCTTTTACTACTTTAGGGAGCTTGGCGCCCCTCGCTCAAGCATGTGTCGTTTTTAGCATGTCAGTCAGTTTCAAGTTTTCTTCTCAGGAAGAGTTACTGATCGTATTTATTCTTAAACAGCTACCTAATAAAAAGACTACAGTGGACTTTGAGAGTTGCCACATTGGAGTAAGTGACTCAATTGGTAGGAACCAAACTACAGCTCCAATTGGGGTGTCTCAGGTTCAGAGGAGGCAACATGATAGTTCTTGGTGTGTCCCTATCATTCCAACCCTTTGGAAAAGTAGGCAGTCCTCATAAAATAGATGCCTTTTACGGGCTTGTCTTGAGAAAACTCAGAGCCTGGAGCACAGTCTGAGAGAGCAATAAAGATCATGTATATGTCATGTGTAGTGGGAGTAGGAGGGATTGGCTTAAGGGCTAACTGGGTGGATACAGTTCCATGTTTGCTCTGCATATGCTCAAGTCGGCTGGATCAAGCTACCTCTTTTCTAGAAGCTGAGTACTTATGACTGCACAGAGGATATCATTTGAGATGTTCCACAACTTGTGTTGTTCTCTTTCTCAGAAATTTAACACCATGGTAGGGGAAAGAGGGGCTCAGCTGAGTGGAGGACAGAAGCAGCGAATAGCTATTGCCCGAGCCCTTGCAAGAAATCCCAAGATTCTTCTTCTGGATGAAGCTACATCTGCATTAGATACTCAGAGTGAATCCATAGTGCAAGCAGCTCTCGATAAGGTAGGACTCATATTATTGAAGCTACCAGCTGCTGTGGAAAGGTGTAACAGCTCTTAAGAAAATTTAACGTACAATTTTTGGTGCAGGTTTCTTTTGAAATCAAGGACAATGGAAAGTAAAATTTGGATGGGTGCTCAGTTTTGGTGTTTTAACAGGGAGTTTGACCTATCAAAAAATTTACTTGGGAGTCATGTTTATTTGGTTAGGATTTTTGGTTTTGCAGTATTACTAATTACAAAGATACTTAGTCATGTGGAATTGTAAATTAGGTTTCCTGCACTCTTCTCCTCAAATCATAATTGTTCATTTGCTGGTCAGATGTTGCTGACATTATCAAGGCAAGATATGAGGACTGAAAGGCCTTTTTCAGGTGGATTAATAGAAATGTATGTATGATATTCTTAGTATTTTTTCTTCATTGTAGCATTGCTTCATAATTTTCAGAAAACTCATGGGATTTAGCAGTTTTCTTTTCAGGGACAGTGCAAACTGTAGAAGAAAAGCAGAATCAGTTATTCCCTCTGCCTGTTTTTATCAGCCCCAAAGCTCTAGAGTGGCCACTGCTGCAGAGCTGTCAGGGCTTGTACCCATGTCTCTGTTCAGCGCACAGTACCTTCCTGGCAGCCCTTCTTCAGCACCAGTTTCCAGCAACATCTAGTGGAGTCTAAAGGCTTTGATTGAAAAAGAACGTCATGGTTGTGCCGGAATGTTTTTTATTTTATCCAATATTTATTTTAATGTATTTTTTAAAACTAAGTGAAAAATCCTGCCTTTCATTCCAGTAGTTATGCAGAGAGATACAAATTACTAGTATTGCTCAAGGGAAATACAGAATTTGCCATCTTCATCGCCAGTAAGTTTAAATCTGAGGTAAAATGTATCTGTTGGTTATATTCACATGATTCCACTGATGATAATAGTATTGAGGTAAAGTGTAGATGCAAAAATAATATTCATATAATCTAATTTGTATATCAGTTATATTGCTGCAGAATTAAGCATTAAAAGATTGCTGCTTCAGGCATAATTCAGTTTTTTTCTGCATGTTAAGTTTGTGCTGAAATACATACCTGTGCAGAAGCTTATTGCTTCATTTAGTGCATAACATAGAGGGAGGTCACTCAGTTAAGTGGACTGTTCCATATAGTCTTCCTCTTCCTGTTCCCAGAACACACCAAAATGAGCCCTGAATCATAACTTACTCATCTTTTCACAGTTTTTTATTGTCCATCAGTGTAGTCCCCAAATGGGATTTCCAAACTTCTTTTTAACACCCCTGAGTGGAAAAAGTGTGCTAATATTGTTCTTTATTTTTACAGCTGAGGAGCAGAGATATTAACCTCATGAATGCTCACTGTTTCTGGGCAGTCATGTGCAGCTGCTTGTAGTCTGCTGTTTTCAAGATAACTTGGCACCTTTTTAAGCATTTTGCTTGCTCCCAGCTGCAGTGGTGAAGGCCCTGTGCATTAGGGCACAGGCGAGAAAAAGCTGCATTGCAGCCAGACTTCCTGTGACAGGCTTTGCATGACTTCCATCAGATCCATGAGAACTCAGTGGCAGGTGTAGGGGACAAATTTAAGTCTCCATAGAAGCATTCATCTACTGTAACTGCCCTCATCTTCTCCATGCCCCTGGTCCTGTGCCCATGTGATATACTAGTAACCCTTGACCACAGAGTGTACTTCTTGCATGATTTCCCCTTGGATTTCTCCTCCTACCCCCAAACCACTATCTGCTCCAGGCATCCAGGAGGAGAGAAGCTGACCTCTCCAGCAGCTGCAAGCTGGCATGTGCTTTTTTGCTGCATGAGCACTGTGTGCCACTGGTTTGCAAGTGGGAGCTGAAGATGAGTGGAACATATGACCTGCAGACTGAGTCTTCAGCAGCTCTCTCTGCCAAATCCCAGAAGGCTCCTGATTTGAGATGCAGCTTATTTCAAAACACAGGGAGAGTGCTTTAGGGAGTGGCTCAAACCCATTTCTGACCTCAGTTTTGCTCCACTCCTCTATGCTTTCCTACTGCGTCTTGTCAGAAATCATGTTGATGTTGTATGGAAAATATATAAAGAAAATATCCTCTCTTTATATACTTACTATCCTAGCTTTATTTTGAGAAAGATCTAACAGTTCTCACTGCATTCTCGCATCATGCTTCCATACGCCTGGAAATACTTTATAAGCAACTTTAGCTCAAACAGTTCAAGTTTCATAAAAGGTCACATAACCTTAATTTTATAGGCCTTAATACCTGTGTTGTCTATCTAAAAAGATTAGTGTGGTTTTCTCTACCTAAATTAGTCAAATGAAAGTGTCCTTAGATGGCTAAAGAGGAGATGTGAAACCAGAGGAAAAAAAATCTTTGCTTTCAGAAGAAAGAATTGTTAGAAGTTTTAATTTCTTTTATATTACAAATTACTAAAATAACTTAATTGTGTTTCTGTGCTGTTTTCTTGCACATTTTAATGTAAATTGCTTTTCTGTGTTTCTGTAAGGCTCGTGCTGGACGTACCACCATTGTGATTGCTCACAGACTGTCTACCATCAGGACTGCTGACACTATTGCTGGATTTGAGAAAGGTGTTGTGGTTGAACAAGGAACACACAGTGAACTCATGTTGCAGAAGGGACTCTACTATTCTCTTGTTATGCAGCAGGTAAGGGCAAATTTATTTTCTTTTTCCATTTCACAAAATTGTCCAATGATAATATGTGGAGCTATTTTCTCTCTCTGGTTCCTGCATGTTTTCTAGCTTGCAGTTCCTCAGTCACTCTAGTCTGGACATAGATACAGGCTTGGAATTCTTGGGTGTTTTACTCCTAAGTGTTTCACATTTTCAGAACCTAATATGTCAAAAATGTAAGTGAGTTGAAGGCACAGACTACATAATTATGGCATAAGCACAGAGGTGTTAGATTCCAGGTGGATTCCATAGAGGGCTTAAAGGAAAAGGGGGGAAAAAAAATCAGGATCAAATAGTCTACTGCTCTGCCATTGTGGACTGAAATATTTGTGACCTATAGGCAACAGTGATCACACAAATGCAGGAGCAGTATTCATGAGGAAAAAAAATAAATAAATTTACTCTTCCTTCTCACTGCTCAAAATGCTTTATAATTGTATATCTTCAATTCTCACTAGGGTTGTAGCAATAATGTTCAAGATGATGGCACATCAGAAGATAGTGAAGGCACAGAGGCTGAGGAACATGAGGAAAGCATAAATGATCTTGTAGAGGAGCTGACTCTTCAAGACCATTTTGAAGAATCTGTGATCTCTGGGAGAGGCAGCATTCAAAGAAGATCTAGCAGATATAAGAACAAGAAGTGTGCATCTAAGAAGTCATCCTTTGGAAAAAAGAAGAAAAAAATGGAGCTGGAGGTTGGTATCACAACTTAAGTTTAGAATTTTAGTGATAACATGTAAGCATAAACAGGAAACACAACTTTGAATACTTTTTAGATAGCTGGCAGACATGCAACCTTTACTCTGAAGCTATTACAGAAAGTACTCACCAGACTGAGTATTTGTTGTAGGAATATGGGGACAATCATTTATCTCTTAATAAAAATCTTCATTTTAACACTACTGAGTTAGGGTGGAACTGAAAAAAACTTGTGCTATGGATTTATCATGCTTCATAAAATTAACTGTATTATTTCAGTGTTACTGATGTTTTAATTCTATCTAATTAAAAGTAGTGTGAGATTTCATTAGCAAGATTCTTTACTTCTTGGTACTCACTGTTGCAAATACTGGTGGGTAATGTAATCCCTGGGATATGCATACTAAAATTTAAGGCATTTTGGTGTATCTTACTGTATTTATGTCAAACTCAAGACCCTAACATTTTGAAGAGCATTCTAAATGAGAAAAAACATTATTTTCTCTGGTTTAGTACGTGCTCCAGTTCTGTGGGATTTTTTTCCAAATAAAAACCTTTTGTTGACAAATGTCATAGGTAAATAAAAGTCCTAGGAAGTTCCTGTTTTAGAAACCTAACCTTGTTTTGTCAAAGGGGAGTGAAACTTGCTTGTTGCATCAATAGGAGCTCTGGATGAGCCTCTAGGTAGGTAGTTGAGTTGGAACTTGGTTTTGATTTTTCTCTTTTGTACTACTTGAACTACAGCTTTTTCTGGTGTATTTTTGTGGGCTTGATTTGGTTTGTTTGTTTTACCTAGTTCCTAGGTAAAACACCTAGGACCCTTGAGGTGAAACAATAAAATGTAAATTCTGAAGTAAAACCATGGATCCTTTTAAATCAATGGCAGTTAGGATCTCATTTGTAATACAGCATCTGATTATTTAAAATACTTACAGAAGCCTTAGTATAATTTGTATCTATTTATATTTCTTTTTACTAAAACATAGCTTCCAGCTAATACATATTTCAAATAGCATGAAGGAGCTGGATCCATTCCCATTATCATATAAAAAGTTATGCAACTTCAAAAGATACTTTTAGACTGTGTATTAATGCTGCTTAAAGCCTCAGAGGAAGTAGTGGGTGTTTATGCTCAGGACTTCAATATTCATCACATTCAGAAAAAATTAAGAAGGCAAGTATCCAGCAGTTGTAATTATTTCAGAAAGATCAGCCCATTTTTATAGTTGAGGCTTAGCCACCCTCATTCAGCATCTGAAACATGGGATAAAATAACCAGGAAACAAGAGCAACTTGCTTATAATCCTGCCTCATTTCTGATTTCTCATTTGTCTCATTTCTGATGTTTTCATTTTTTGCCTTTCCAGAACTTCCCCTATGGAGTCATAGGCACTTGAATAAATTGGTAAAGCAGTACAGGGCATTTTTTGTACTTTTGAAGCAGATATGGGCTAACTGACTCACTGACTCTCACATATGCCTCTCATGCCTTTTTTTTTTTTTTTTTTTTTTTGGTAATGATGCATAGGCTGTAACTTGCAAAGGAGAAAAATGACCTCTCTACCCAATTGTACTACTGCCAGCCCACTAGCATTTAGCAGAACTGGAGGGATCTTTGCTATGCTCTGATCAGTGAGACTTTCAGTTTTTTATAAAGATTGAAGTGTTAGTTGCTACTCATGGTGACTAGTCCTACCTGACTTTGAGTGAACTGTCCTGACCTTTCTCCCCCATGACTTAGACTTTCATTAAGTTTTTTGCCTCTAAAAGTTTACAGTGCAGTTGAAGTTCTAGGATATGAAGATCTTCATCAGATTTTCTTATTCTGAGTGCACACAGAGGACTTCCAGCAGTTTACCGAGACAGTTCACTACTCAAAGTCTAATGAACACCCGCTGTCTGGGGAACTTCATGTTCTGCAACTTTCCAAGGAAAACTTGCAGCTTTTCCCTTCCTCTAGGAAGAAAATCTCCCTGCTGTGTCTTACTTAAGAATCCTGGCTCTGAACAAACCTGAGTGGCTGTATGTACTGCTGGGAGTGATTGCTGCTGCTGTCATAGGTGCTGTCCATCCTGCATTTGCTGTTATATTTGGAAAAATCATTGGGGTAAGTTTTGTGCTTGTTTGGGATTTTTTTGCCATGGTTTTGGGGTTTTTCTTGAAAATGGATGTTGCAGTCCTGATCTTCCCTCATGCTTAGCCACTCAGCCAGTACTTCCTATGTGAGTCCCTGGGTGGAATTCACTTGTATAAATGGATCCACTGAAAAATGTTGGTGGAGTGACTCTCTAGAGGCAGTGCACAGTGGAACTGCATCTGACTAGCAGAGGTAAGGAAGAATATCAGTGGAGCTGAAGGAACAAATTAGTGAGATGCAGGTTAAATGGAAGGCTGAACTATCTCCTGGTCCTCAACAGAAAGTTGACTGCAGTCTGATTTCAGGTCCCAGGACAACTTGCTAATATAAATTAAGGTAGACAAGCTTCTTGAGATGAAGGCTGGCTTATGTAACTGACACTCATCCATGGACTCATTTTTGTGTTGTGATTTTTTTTCCTTGCATAGGCTTTTCAAGAAAGAGATCCAGAAAAGAGGAGTAAAAACACAGTGTTGCTTTCTTTAATGTTTCTTTTACTTGGAGTGATTATCTTAGCAGCGTACATAGTCCAAGTAAGTGTCACTACCCCAGAATGTTAAAAGTTCTTAACTCCTCAGCAGGCTGCAGGTATAACTAATATCAATGCTGTCTGAGAAGCAAAACACCAATCAGAGCTTACAAAAATATGCAGAAGTGCCAGGGTTCTTACTGAGATGTGAGTTTTATGGTTATGCTTACTCAAAGACATATGTCTATATTTGCTGTTGATTTAAATAAGCCACTAACGGCAATGTGAATTCAGCATGATTGAAATTAAAGTTGAGGGTCTGGCCTTATAAGTCAAAGTTAATACTGACATTTTTCACTGACAGTATATAGGCTCTTGCCAAAGTAAGTATAAAATAGACTCTTTCCATAGCAGATGGTGCTTTTCATACCATCAAGTAAGCTGCATCATTTGCTGTCCTCTTTTGACTGCTTTACAGCTCAGAGGAAGCTCTTTGTGCCCACTGATGCCCATATCATAAAATCCATTAGTGTGACTGCTGTGAATGAATGTCTCTGGTTGTAGTCAGAGTAGAGAGGCCAATGACTAGCTAGGCTGAGTTAGTTATCTTCTAGTGCTCCTGGAGCATAGGAATAAGGCATTACATTGAAGCTTCTGCCTTTTTTTACCATACTGCTTCCTTTCTGTGGGAAAATAGAGGTTTGGGTTCCAGAAATATGAATATGGTGCTTTTCCCAAAATGTATATATGCATAGGAGGTTATAGGAGACTTTTTGGTTTAATTACTTTTGTTGTGCAGATTTATAAACAGAGTTATAGCATCAGATGAGAAAATGTGACTCTTTTTTTCTCCTCCAGGGATTCATGTTTGGAAAGTCTGGGGAAATACTGACAATGAGACTGCGCTCTTTGTCCTTCAGAGCATTACTTCAGCAGGTATGAATTATGTAGCTAGGGTGTCTAGAGAGCCAGCTATCTTTTGCAGACTGTTACAAGGTATACACATTGTGTTTTAACTGTGTGGTCTGGAAAAAAAGAAAACAAAAGCATGTCTTTGTACCACTATCTTAGGAAAAAATACAACTCTTCAGAAAATGTCCTAATCCATGTGCAATTTGGCTCAATGCTGCTACCTCAAATAGTCTAATTTTGAAGGAGTGCCATTGCAAATGTGCATATTTCTGACATGCTAATATGCACACAGTTTGCAGCTGTGTATGTGTGCAGGGATGGTCAAAATACATTTAATCTTCCTTTGCTTGGGTGGTCGTGATATATGTAATATAGAGATGTGAATCTAACCCATTTGAGTTACTTAGATTTAAAACTATATACTGCAATCTACAGCAAATAGACAATCTGATCATTTTTTACTGGAAAAATCAAATTTCACTATTGCATCAAGAATTACCCAGGAGAAGAATAAGCTACTTATGTTAAACCTTTCCTGTTAATTTGTGCAATTTCATGTTACTTGCATAGAAGTTTTGAGAATGCACAACTTGGCACCCCACACACCCACTGGGGACATGTGTGTTCATAGAAATATCTGAAAGGGACTAGGAGACAAAAAATTGGTGATTAAAAAAAAAAACTTGCCACGGACTTTGGAGGTAAAAGGGCCTCATATCTGTCTATACAAATACAGATGAGCAATTGCTCTTCTATAGTTGCTGGAATAGGTAACTTGTAAGAAGAGAATAGTTAACCTCCATTTAATTATAAATTTTATATATATATGTATAAAATGTATAAAATCT